GCCTAACAAGAGAAAGACTGGAGAGAATCCCTTTCAGAATGGACAGTGTAAAGACACCAACTCTGCTCTTAGTGAACAAACTCTAGGTATTGTAGAACCGGGGATTGAACTCAGATCCTTGCATTTGCCAGTCAAGCGCTTATCCTACTGAGCCATCTCCCCGGCCCCTATTCATTTTTTTAATACTTTGAAAATTTTTCATTTAGAGGAGAACAGAAATACTATAGAAGTCAATATCATCTTCAGATAACACGTTCAGAGATGGAAGTATTAAGTTTGTGTTTTTCACAATGTTCATTCCTTCTATCCAGGAGCAGCTGACAGCTTTCATCTTCTGAAATCCTCTGATCTCTTTAGAGAGTACTATAATTTTTGCTGTATAAATCTTTTACTTCTTGGAAATGCGGTATTATAAGTTGAACTAAATTCAAAAATTTTAAATCTTTAAATATTTATTGCCTGCTCCTTTCTACTTTGAGAATTCTAATTACATGAATATAAGTTTCTTGGTTTTGACACAGTGAACTATTATGACTGATCTGTAAATTCATTTTTATTTTGGACAATTTTTATTTCTATAGTCATTTATGTTTATAAATTTATTTTCAATTTGCAATCTATTAAAAAAAATAAAAAAATAAAACAATAAATCTTTTGCTTCCTGAGATTGATTCCTAAGTATTTCATTTTTTGAGGTATTATTGTGACAGGCTTATTATTCTTATTATTCTTATTATTTTGGTGGAACTGGGGATTGAACTCAGGCCCTTGCCCTTATTCCCCTGAGCCATCTCCCCAGCCCATGAAAGGCATATTATTGTTTTGCTTTTTTCTTTAAACTAATCTTGTGTGTTTATATCTGGTAGCCTGAGCAACTAATTTGAAGATAGCATCATATAATACAGCAACTACTGTTGAATTCCTATTACTTTGTTTAGTGAAATTTTGTATCATTTCTAATGTTTTTTTAAATCACTATTTTGTATTCCTTAAAAAAATAAAAATGAGAAAAAGTTTTTCAATAAATCACATAGAACTATTATTTATATATCTATATTCATATGATTAACAATCACATTTTTAAGAAAATTCAAGTATATCAAAGCTTTTTTTTCTACCCTTCTCTGACAAAACTAAACAAAAAAAGGGGATACAAATGAATGACAATTTTGTATCTATACATTCAAAATGGGATAGATAAACAGCTACGTTCTCTTAATTCAGTGAATAGAAAGATTTGTTCTAATAGTGTTTGTGTACAGGATATCATGTCTGCGTCTTGTACAATGAACCACTAAAAACTATACAATGTATTTATTTAAAATTGGTTTTGAAACTGTCTCATTGCTATTTGTTTCTCAATAAAATTATTTTTTTAAAAGTTTTTTTCCGGGGCTGGTGAGATGGCTCAGTGGTCTAAAGCACCTACTTAGAATGAGCTTAGCAAAGCAAAGGGACCACGGTTCAATCCCCAGCACCACATGCCAGCCAGCCCCGCCCCCTGGTGGGCTGAGCTGGCCACACACACACACACACACACACACACACAAATAAATTAAAAAAATAATTAAAAAAAATTTTTTTCTGCGTATTTTTGATCCACCTACGTCCAGTCTTCATAGATGGCGCCCACTGTTTCCGACATGGATTTGTAACATGTATCAGTTTCTCTGAAAGCACCAACACAGACACAGAAGTGTGCATGTAATGGTTTTCATGGAATATCCCGTATATACATTTTTTCTTTTTACTTTTTCTTGCCTTCTTTTCTCCTTCCCCCTGTCCCATGTGTTCTTTCATTTTTTAGCAATTACTTTCCCTTTCATAATATGTATTGTGCCGGGGTCCTATTTACTCTTTCATTTTCTTACATTAGGACGACAACACGATGCTTGTATGTGCGAGTCTGACTCATTTTACTTACGTGTATAATATCTAGTTGCATCCATTTACCTATAAAAACCTCGAGTTTGTCTTGCATTTTACTTGAGTAGTACTCCATTTCATAAATACCATGTGTTCTCTGCTTGCTTGCTGTTTGCCATTCCTTGGTTGATGTACAGTATTGGGGTTGATTCCAGGACTTAGCTATGACAAATGGAACTGCTGTAAACATGGGCACATACATAGCACTGTGGTATGATGTTTTCAGTTCTCAGGAAATGCAGGAGGGAAACAGCTGTGTCTAATGATGCCTCTAATCATAGTTTTTGCTTTTTAAATTTTTTATTCTTTTTATACTGAGTCATGGGCCTGGAAGACATCTCAGAATAAGCTGCAGAGACAGTGATCTAACCACCTGCCTGGCAAGCATAAGGTCCTGAGTTCAATCTCTGGTACCACAAAAAAAGAAAAAAAGAAAAAGAAAGAAAGACCATATACAGAGTCACATGATGCAGCTCGGACTTGTAGTGATCCTCCTGTTTCAGTCTCCCCAGCACTGGGATTGCAGGCATGGTCCACCATGTTTGGTTTTGGGGCTGGCATGTTGCACCCGGGGATCTGGGGCAGCATGGCATGTGGTACCAGCAATTGAACTCAGGACCTTGCACTCACCAGGCAGGTGGTTAGATCGCTGAGCTATCTCTCTAGCTTAATCATAGGTTTTTGAGGATTCTCCTCACTGATTTCCACAGTGGTTTCACCAGTCTGTAGTCCCAAAAATGAGAAAGGTTTTCTTTCATCCAACAGTCCATCCAGCATTTCTTATTGACTTCTTGTCGATAGGTATTCTTTCTGGAGTGTGATTGAACCTCAGTGTTGCCTTAATTTGCATTTCTCTAATGGCTAATTATATATATTATTTATTTATTTATACCAGAGATTGAATTTATTTATTTTTGTACCAGAGATTGAATGTAGAACTTTGCACTTGTCAGACAGGCACTTGCTGCTGAGCTATATACCAGGGCCCATTTTTCCTATATTTATTCATCATTTATGTTCATCTAAGAAGTGTATTTGTCTCATATGCCCACTTTTAAATTGGGTCTTTGAAGTTTTGAGGTTTGTTTTATTTATTTTTTTATTTTTTTAAAATTTTATTTATTTATGTGTGTGTGTGTAGCCAGCTCAGCCCACCAGGGGGCGGTGCTGGCTGGCATGTGGTGCTGGGGGATCGAACCTTGGTCCCTGTGCTTTGCCAAGCTTGTTCTAAGTAGGTGCTTTAGACCACTGAGCCATCTCACCAGCCCCAAAGAGGAATGCTGAAAGACAAGTAACACAGACTGAACATCCATAATCTGTTTTTTTTTTTTTTTTTTTTTTTTTTTCGGAACCGGGGATTGAACTCAGGTCCTTGAGCTTGCCAGGGAAGCGCTTATTCCACTGAGCCATCTGCTTGAGGTTTGTTTTAGTAAAATTCTTTTTATATTCTCAATAGAAATCTTTTGTCTAAGGGAGAGTTGGCTAAAAGATGTTTTCCAACTCATGGATTTTTTTGGTCTTCTGCACAAAAAATAATACTACTATAAATCAACAACTGGGATCCCTCTATGTTTTTCATCTATTTCTTGTTCATCTCAGTTTTGAAAAATGTATGTTCCTATTGCCTATTACATATCATGTACCTCTTTCTTTCTTTTGTGGTACTGAGGCTTGAACTTGAGACCTCGTGATTGCCAGGCAGGTGCTTATGCTGCTGAGCTAAATCACTGGTCCCATTTACTTTCCTCTTATACAAGTAAAAGTTAAACACCATACCTCTTATATTAATTCAGTCTTATATAAATACCAGCATCTTTGTCCACATGTTCTAATAATGGCATTTCAACAGAGTCTTATGATATTAAAAAATGAAAAATTAAGGTGACAAAGTTTAACTTATGTTTTTTTTTTCAGAACTGGGGATTGAGGGCTGGTGGGATGGCTCAGTGGTCTAAAGCACCTACTTAGAACAAGCTTAGCAAAGCACAGGGACCGAGGTTCGATCCCCCAGCACCACATGCCAGCCAGCCCCGCCCCCTGGTGGGCTGAGCTGGCCACACACACACACACAAACAAAATAAATAAATAAAAATTAAAAAAAAAAAAAAAAGAACTGGGGATTGAACTTAGGTCCTTGTGCTTGCCAGGGAAGCCCTTATTCTACTGAGCCACCTCCCCGGCCCCTTTAGTAGCATACTTTAATGTCGCTTTGCTTCATCATTTACTCAGTTTATTTCATTAGAAAGCTGTCATGTGATGTCACAATGTGATGTTTAAGAACAATGGAGAATGAGTTATGAAGAGGATAGTGTATTCTCATTCTGATTACACTATGGGTGTATCAAATTCAGTATTAAGTATCATTGTAAATATGTTAATTTATTTAAATTATTCTATAAGTGTAAATATATAAAATGACATATGAATGTATTTCTGTGTTTGATAATATTAACATCTTTTTTCCATAATTTTATTGAGAAACAAATAGCAATGAGACAGTTTCACATCAAATTGGTAGGACAGTTCCAATAATTAACACATTGCCTACTGCCTTCCTAGTGGTTATTTGTTGTACAAGATGCAGACATGATATCCTATTTACAAACACTGATAATATTAACACCTAACACTGGAAGTACACATTGCAGACATAGAAGTTTATCTATCTCAGATAAGGAAACACTGTTGTTGTAATGAAGAGGTACACATCTCCCTCTTATCAGGATAGTAATACCAGAAAAAAATAGAAAGGCAAACGTTTTCTGACAAGGGACACATAATTGAACAACTGTCAAAAAGTCAAACAGCATTTACCTTACCCAAGTAGAGCTACTCTTTCACCCCAGGTCTAAATCTAACAGTCTACAAAATTTGTGTCTTTACTAGCGTAGAATAATTTTGTACCACATAGTGACTGGTCCAGGCTAAAAAAATATTAAACCTCAAGCACAAATACATTTTTGGAGGAAAATGTACATTTCTTTTGTTTAGATTTATTATAGGAAGAAAGACCCCTGAAGGTGGATGGAAGAGAGGCAGACAGGTAATGGCAGAGGATGAAGAGAACAAGGGCATCCTTAGGCAGATGGCACCGGAAGAAAAGCATCACACTGATTGACAAGGAATTAAGCAATGGAGGAGTTCCTTTTCCATTACCAGGTTTCAATCTCATTTGAGTACATATAGGTAATTGTAGATTTATTTCTATTCTCAAAGGTGTGTTTGTCAATTTCAATCCACATTGCGTGTCTTATCCTTTCTAATTTCTCATAATATAAAGGCATCTGTGGAAAGTATATTATGCAAGCTGATTTTACGAGACCAGCATAATCCTGGTCCCAAAACTTGATATTACCACAACAAAATAAGCCAACATCTTGATGAGCATGAATGCAAAACTCTCAAAAAAATG